TGCAGTTTTCACTGAACTTAAAAATGAAAATCATGTCACCCTATTGTAATCTGTTGGTACCTTTTTAGACTGTAGCTTAATCATGACAGACCTTGATGTTTATTTCTTATTTAAACCCTTCTCTTTACACGTAAGCATTTTTAGAAGGGTCAGCTTTCTTGTTTAACTTACATGGAACTATGTAGAGTACAACCCAGTGATATCAGGCAAGAATTAATATTTCACTCTATTTCAAATGCTTATAAAACTTTTATTGAGTTAGATTTTGCTGATGCAAAGTTTACAGCCTTCTGGTACTGAAAACTAGATATACAAAACAGTGTTACAGACGATGAAGATAAAGAGTATGTTTTCTTTTCAGGGCTTTGAAAAAAAATCACTTAAACTCTTACTACTGAATAGAGTAAGCCTAGAATCCTGTTTATATTCCAGGGAAAAGAAAGTCTGCATTTGTTCCATGGCTTAAAGCATCTGGTTTATACATATTACATTGCAGTAGTGATACTGAAAAATTGTCTCTTGCCTAACGTTTTTACTGTCCTATGAACAGGAATTAAGTTTTAAAATACTGCTTGAAGATGGCTGTGCTAACTAATGTCAATGCAGGAGCAATATTTTTACCTGTTTCTAGATGACAGTGTTACTAAAATGTCTAAAATGAAGGCATTTGTTTAGTCTCAGTTACTTAAGAAAAATATAAATTGTAAAAAGGACTCAGATAAATCATGAACTCAGAGGAACTTTCAGATCGTCATTGTTCAGAAGCCAAATAAAATGGACCAAAAAAAAAAATTAACGTGACAAATGACCAGACACCCCGGGGGCTTTGCATGGCTCCCCGAGAGCCAGCGCATCCAGAGGCTTCAGGCGGAAGTGGAGGCCGAGCTGCTTCAAACACCCATCGGCCTGTGTCTTTCCTTTCCTGGAACCAGCCCCGGCCCCAGAGAAGGGGGCCAGATGCGCTCGGGGGATGAGGCCAGCACAGCCCGCAGGCCGCTCCCCTCCTGGCCTCACACCACGGACCTGGTGCCTCCCGGCTGCTCAGAGCAGCCTCGGGGCAGGGGTTCCCCTCCCTGGACCCTACGAGGGCTGCACTGGGGGCACCCTTGCCCTTCCCTCCCCTGACGGCTGGTGTTGGCACCTCCGCCACAGCATCGTGGTTGCTGGTGGCTGGCATCGGGAGCTCCCTCACATTTAGCGATGCTATAGTGGTTTGTAGTCTCTCTGGTTTTGGTTGGTTCTGTTTATGCTTTGGGGGTTTGGAGGGGAGAGGAGAACTTGAGATTTTACGTATGACTTTAAACATTCGCTTGTGAAATCCCATCAGACATGCATGTGCAGAAACAGGTTCAACACAGAGTGATAAAACAGGTGACAGATACCCGCCCCCAGGTAGGACTGCTACCAGTTCCACTGAAGCCCCTTCGGGGCCTCCTGATCACTGACCCCCCGCCCACCCCAGAGGAAGCTCCTTCCCTGCGTTTCTTTCAGCCCTCACTTTTCTTTATAGTTTCACCACATACGTGCGTGTCTGAGCATCATTTCAGCTTTGCTCACATTCGAATGTTGGATTCCATGGTACAGATTTTGTGATTGGCGTTTCCTGTTAAACATGGAAGATGGGATGGGGAAAGTTTTGTCTGGAGGGTTGCTTGATCCGGAGGTTTGGAGACATTCATTTGTTGTATGTACTGCAGGAAGGTGAGAGAGAGAGGTAGGCACCAGCTGGCCTCAAGATGTTTCCTCTATACTTTCCCTTGAAATACCAGGCTTTTCAGTGGCTCGGCCGAGTTGCTGGCATGTGAAGACAGGACAGGAGCGTGTGGTTGTTCACCTCCATTCACAGACGAGCGGAGACAGGCAGTGCTGGGCGGCAGGGGAGGCTGTCTCTGTGTCCTGTCTCCCACGTGCCATCCCGTGGTCGGGCTTCTCCTCCAGGCTGGCCCGGGCCTCGCTCCAGCGACACCTTTTAGAGTCACAAGCCAGCCGGCAGACTGGGGAGTTTGTAGGCCAACTGCCACCTGTGTCTGCAGGCCCTTCCACCTGTCTGTGCTTCTGGTGACAAAGCTGCATGAGAAAGTACATTCCCTGGTGGTCCAGTGGATAAGACTCCACGCTTCCAAGGCGGGGGGCACGGGTTCAATCCCTGGTGGGGGAACTAGGATCCCACATGCTGCGTGGTGTGGCGGGGAGAAAACAAAAAAAAAGCATTTGCAAGGTGCAGCCACCCCAGAAGTATAGCTTCCTACCTTTGTTCTAGTTGGAATTATGTGCAAACGTAAATTATCCTGCGAGTCCGTCACGACCTGAGTTTGAGCCCCAGAGAGCCTCTGGGGAAGCAAATGGTGTTTTGGAATCATACCTCCCTCTGGCTCTCTTCCCTACGACACCTTTACCTACAGCAGAGAGAGGCCCCGTTGGTCGTAGCAAAGGCACAGGGTGCAGAAGAAACTGATGCCCTTGGGAAGAGCTGTGAAAAAGAGCTGTCCTCATTTTGGACAAAGTGTGTCCTGGAAGGCTGCCCTAGGGACGTGCTGGGATGCCGCCTCCAGGCGTTGCTTGGACCTGACACCAGCGAGCAGCCCAGCTGAGGGCTGTTTGGAGAGCCCGAACTGCGGGCAGGGCTCTTGGCCTGGCGTGTGGGAGGATGTGCACCCCGTGAGGGGCACGAGGCCCCCGGGGCAGAACGCCGCAGCACCCAGGGGAATCCTCCCCGCCCCTGCTGCTTCCGGGGACCAACAGAGGAAAATGAGGAAATCCCTGTTTCCTCCTGCGGCTTTTGGTCCCTTAGCTCTGAGGACAGAGCCACGTTGGGGGCCGTTCTCAGTTTATGCTGTACCTTCTGTGGCCCAGCGACGTCTCCAGCTAATGGGAGGTCATTTAAGTAAATGGCACTCACTGTACCGTCTGGACAGAGACAGCGTTTAAGTCAGGGCCTAATGCACGCAGCTCCGGAGAAACGGCCCCTGGCACTCAAAGAGGCTGCGAGGTGCCATTTGCAGCGTTTGCGCGTTAATCTCCGGTCTCAGAGGGCGCTGGCAACAAGGCTTATGCCTCCCCTTCTCAGAAAAGGCCGGCAGAGGCCAGGGAAGAGGAAGAGAGGCGCCCTCCAGGCCAGGTGGGCCCTCACTCAGCCCCGCACCATCCATCTCTTGCTGTCCCGTGGGTCGCACAATTCCAGAGATCTCTTTTGCTTTAGTTAAAAAAGTGACGGCATACTCGAATCCCCCCGCCTCTGCCCACTTCCATTTCCTACCTGGTCACCCTGCTGGGGACCCTCGTCCTTCCTTCCTCGCCCGCCGGCTTCTCTCCCACTAGGGGTCGCCAGCGCCTGTGCGCGGCGGCGGCGGCGGCGGGGGGCGTGGCCTGGGCGTGGCCGGCAGGTGGGGAGCGGGGAGAGGCGGGGAGAGGCGGGGCCGAGCAGGGCGGATGCTGAGATTCCCAGACCCACCGGAGGAGCCTGACCGACGGGTCTGAGTCAGGGGTTTCTGCGCTTGCAGAGCTACCTTCGGGAGCACACCGGGAAACCAGCTAACTGCCCGCAGCACATGCGCTGCCGCCGCTGGTTTCCGTGTGCGATGGGGTGAGGCGTCACCTCCCCAAACGCTTGAACCAAGTAGGTGCGTAAAGACGGCCCAGGCTGGGAGGCGGTTCAGTGTTTCAGACCCGCGAGCGCAGTGTAAGGTCACAGAGCTGCCAGCCGTGAACTCTGTCGCCGAATCAGAATAACACAGGCTCCATCACGGAGCCGGGAGGGAGCTCGGAATCAGAGCTGACAGCTAAGAACGGCTGTGGAGGTGGCGTCCACCAAGTGTTTTCCCCACTACCGGGGAAACTGAGGCCCAGGGAGGTGGGGACACGCGCCCCATTCAGACCCGGCTCCCAGCCCCTCACGATGGTGGGGTCCTGCAGGGGAGAAGGTTCTACGTGAGACAGAGGGAGACATTCTGTCTCTTACCGACCGTTAGAGACTAGTCCCCAAATATGATAAAAGCCCAGAAAGAACATGCTGGAGACATTCTTCCCAGATTGACCTTTTGCTGACCTGGACAAGGGGGCCTCGGTAGGACAGTCGTGGAGCCACCCAGTTCCCTTGACCATCCCGTCTCTTGCTGAGAACCCCGACTTGATGGTTTGGAGGCCTCGGCTCCGGACACCATCCTCCCCAGGACCGACGGCAGCAGACTTGGCTGAGAACTTGGCGAAGCTCTTGCTTCAAAGGCCAGTCACACGCGTCTGTGGGAGGAGGCCGCGGCCGCAGCGAGGCCTGGCCTCGTACGGGTGGCCTCACCTCCCACCCCTCGGCAAGCGACTGACACTTGGCGTTAGGCCGCCCTGCTCACTTAATATTTCACTCCCTCAACAACTGTCTTCCTAAATCGGCTCTAAAGAGCCTTAGGAAACAGAGGTGTGGGCACGAGCCAGTCTTCCCCCCAAAGCCCGGGGTGAGATTTTCAACGCAGGGTATGGAAAGGGCCTCCCTCCGGCGGCACATGCAGCCGCTTGGCGCAGGCACGAGGCCCTCACCCTTAAACGCTGCACACTGTCCGCGGCGTCCCAGAAACCAGTGAGTATTCCAGCCAAGCTCCCAAGGAGAGGGTCGGCTTGAGCACTCGTGACGCCAGACCGCCAATGATACGCAAACCCGCTGCGATTTCCCGGCCCCTCGGTCCCCACGGTAGGGTCCCCGAAACCCCAGAGTAGCTGCCAGCTGAATTTGCATAAAATGGCCTGGACCTAAGGAGCCTCCCCAAATCCCTGCACTGAATCAACGGGACCCCACATCACTGAGGTCTCTGACGGCTTCCCCCAGTGGGCGGGGCTGGAATTTGGAGCTCCCTGGGTCTCAGGCCCCTCCCCAAGCAGATGGCACCTGGACTGGTGTTGGGTTGACACCAGTAAATCAGTGACATGCAGATCGGAGCCCAGCCTCCAGCCCAGGGGACTCTGACTGCTTCTGTGACCAGGGTCTCCTCTTTGCGCAACAAACAGCCCCGCGATACCGTGCCAGAAGTTACACTTTTATTTAACATTTAGAGGATTAACATATAGTTACAAGGTCAATATAAGCCTTCCAGTGGAAGCACTTTATTTGGTTTAATTCTATCTCCAGAGACAAATGGGCAATTCCATAACCTTTACAATGGCAACGGGCCATTTACAACACTGAAATGCCTCCAAAGTTTAGAATTAGTGCAACACACAGATAAACCAAGAAGTTTAAAGGTGCTCGACACCAGGTTAAAATAAAATTTTGGATCACTTTTTAAAGTTTTTTTGATATAAGCACAGGAGGCAGAGCCATTAGGAAGTATGAAATCGACATTTCTGCAAAAATACTTAGCATCAACATAACTTTTTCATGTTCAGTAAACTTTTCTCCAGTAATTACAGATGTTACCAAAAGGCATAAGAGGCCTCTGCGCTACTACTGCTGGAGAGACAGGCTGCTGGCGCCCAAAAGCTTCAGGAAGATCGTGATATAAACCCAAAGGGCAATCCCCTTACAGCTTTCCATGCCTTTTTATTCTTTCCTATCCTGCAAAGGAAAAATTGGGTAAACGACAGGTTCCTCTCTTTCATTTTAAGTTATTTGCAGGGTAGCTTCTTTAAAAATGAGTTATTCTTACGGCACAGCAATATCCTAGCATTGGTGGAGAAGTGACGGGCAGTGGATACGAGGGAAGGCTGAGAAAAGCACATGGGAAATTCCACGTTTCTACTCTATGTGAACTGCTCTATAGTAATATATAGACGATTTCACAGTAGGATTCCCAGAGTAAGTGATATATCTCAACTATCCTATAATAACTTACTTCCTTTACTAAGCCCAGCTGGTACAGCTTTGCCCTTTCCCCATAGCCACACAGACTGTCAGAGAAGCAAACACCAAGGTTAACATTGAAAAGCACTCATTTATCCATTCTTTTTTGGACACAGGTGGTACAGAGAAAAAAAAAAGGCACAGGGGCTACAAGAGGATACCAGCATGTTCTATTTTGGGTTTAACAGACATTAAAAGAACAAATTACTGCACTTTATGCCTTTTCCCCTAGGTTGTAAGAAATTAATCTATCCTGACCCCTAATATGAAAGATGCAATGCACATGCATTCCCAAGGCTCTAAAATCAGATTTTAAAAAAATGTGTGGCATCCTTGCAGAGTGAAGAGTGGGCAGCTTGACTTGGTGAGATTCAGAAGTTGCTGGAGACACCCGGTCACCCTGCCACTGGGACTGTCCACAGGAACCACGCACCTGCTGGTTTGCAGGGACGCGGGTGAGGCCCTGACCCTTCTCGCCCTTTGGCATCCTGGCTTCACCGTGATCTGCAGTCCTCTCATGAGACTGAGGAGTGTGTGACAGTGGGGCCGCCCCTTGGGTGTTAACGGAGCGGCCCCCAGATGCCCACAGCTGCAGAGGCTCCCTCTGGGGAAGAAAGGGCGAGGGGGTGACTCACGCTTGCTCAAACCTGAAGCCACTTCCTCTTCCCCTGCTTTTTGCCCTTGGTATTTGCTCCCTCTTGGTTTCTTGTCACCAAGGGTTGCCTGAGCCACTCTCAGAGGCTGGTGTGTGGTCAACCCTGGTTTGCCGAGAGGAACCGTTTTCCTACCACTGAACAAAGGCCCGACCCTCAGGACCTGTCCTTTCTGTCCTTGTCCCTTCGGCTCCTGTAAGATTTCCTTGTCTTGATTCATAAGGGTTGAGAAGCAATGAGGATGCTCAAGGTGACCTCCTGGTTACCAAAAGCAAAACAAGAGAGGAAAGATGCCTGGTGGCATCCTTGGGCTTCTGACGGCATCCTCGCTCACAGAAACTGACAGCCAATGATTCCTCTGGGCTTTTTCTGCACCGAGTAAGTAGAGAAGCTATGCTGCTCTAAGGCATGAGTGACCACAGGGTACATGACCTCATGTCTTCCTCAAAGACCCATAAGAGGAAGGAAATTTAGCTCAAAAAACAAACTTGATTAATTCCACTTGGCCTGGAGAGCAGGTGGGGAAATGTGGAAGCTGTAGCCACGGGATCACTTGATGCACCACGAGAAGCACAGGGTCTTTGGTGATGAAAGCACTAGAATCCTAAGATGCGGATCTCGGACTTCACGGGAAGGGGAGAGTCTTCCCTTGGCAATGAGCTAATGCAGAGGTGAGACCCTCGTTCACGACCTGCAGTTCTCATTAACAGGCGGCCAACGGGGAGAAGGTGGGCTGGGGCCTTCCTTGACCCCATGAAAGGTGGGCACGGGCAGGACAGCAGGGCTGGCCCCAGAGCTGGAATTTGACTTTTGCTGTGGACTTTTCCAGGCCACTGAAGACAGGGCCCCAAACAAAAATGTGTGTACGTGTGTGTATGTGAGTGTGCGTGTACATGCCCCAGTGCCCGCCACGGACACTCTGAGGCTGTGAAACGTTTCAAGGGCCAATTGTTTCGTATGAGGTGAGGACGCACAGTCAGGAAAGGACCACCGAATACCCAGTGGACTTGGGAAAAGATGAGTATTTTCTAACGTAAAGGACACAGGGACACATGAGTGACATTCGGGCGCCCAGTCCACCTGGTGCAGGCCTGACCCTCCTTGTTCAGATGCGGTTCGTCTCCCCAGGAGACCAGTGGCAAAGTTTTCACAAAAGGCACAGTGTGAATTGTGGACGGGCCGGGATGCGCCAGATGGACTGAGGGCCGAGGCCCGGGAAGGAGGGACCACGCGTCAAGCCGCCTTCTGTGGCCCCGAGTTGGACGGGGACCAAGACAGGGACAGACCTCCCCGCAAGAGGCAGCCAGGCTGGGCCAGGGGAGGAACCAGGCTACGAGGAACATGCTGTAAAAAGAAAAGAAAGAAAAAGGCAAGCCGCTGCACGTGGGGATGGATGTCGCTTCAGGCTTAGGTTCCGAGGGCCACACACCAGCAGAGCCCCAAGGCGCTGGTGGGCACCCAGGCCTGTGGAGACAAGCAGACCGAAGGGTTTCTCCTGGGAAGGCTCTCCCGAGGCTCTGGCTCCCGGAACCATCTTTAGGAATCTACAACACAAAAGACAGAGAAAGGAAAAGGCTGTTAGAGTGGCGGGCAGCAGGTCAGGGGCCGGCGCTCTGCAGCTCAGTGCAAACTGCACCGCCCTGGGGAGGGGGGAGGGGAGGGGGCACATTTAGAGCAATGGGTTACCACAGGGCGAGTCTGAGATAAGGAACTTTCACGGTTTTATCTGCAATCAGAGCAGCTAGTCTTTCCTTCAGGGGTAAGAGAAGCCGCCCAGGAGATGATGCACCCATGCACCCGAACTCATCTTTCTCATAAATTGAGTTCTGAGACAGAGAAAGAACCAGCCTCCCAGAATGATGCCGGGAGCCCAAAGGCCTGGTTCTCTCTCCGACTGACACTCTCAGTTCCTTGGCAGTAAAAGGCAATATCTTTGGTGAAAAGGAAAACCTGTCACTCAGCGTTTACTCAGCAATAAACAGTGAAAGTTCTTCATCTTGAGGGGACAGAAGAGGAAACAGGAGACAGACTCCTCAAGCCCGGAGGTGAACACAGGGTGAGAAACAGAGAAGGTGTCATCATATAATAGGGGGAAAGGACAGGAAATTTTTTTTTTTTTTTTTTGAAAAGCATTTGGCTAGAAAATTCCCCATTATTGAAGACGAAAGAGTTAAATTACTCGGATTACACAGAATAATTTTCTCGGAGAGGGGAAAAATCATTTAAAATACACAACACTGAGAAAAATATAACGTTTATTAGAGAGGCAGATACGAGGGTACAACTAAAAGGAGCCAGACAGATTCTTTTCTTGTAAGATAAGGAGAGAGAGAAACAGTCATGTTGGCCATATTCAAACAGAACTTACTCAGAACCCAAGTGTCTACAATAAACTCAAGTGTGGATCAGCTGGCAGGGGACCTAGCTACCACTGTAACCGTCCTTCCGGCTCCCCCAGCGGTTACAAAAACAAAAAGGTCATTAGGCATCAGAATCACCAATAAAACAAACACAAAGAAGAGTAAAACATTAAAACAACGAATTCAAGTAATCCTTTTAGTTTTTCTATTGCAGTATATACAAATCTATTGGGGCAGGGGGCGGTTATGGATATATTTCACAGAGAGCAATTTAAAAAAACAAAAACAAAACCATAAAAGAGGACAGTCACAATTCAGTTGACCAGTTGGAACTTACTCTAGTCTAACTACTTTGGCAATTATTAAATAGTCACATGGTAGACACCACACACACACAAAAGTGCTCTGGCATTACTGACAATAAAACAACTCCTTTTGAGTTACGGGCGTCGGAAAGCAGCAGCCCCGCCCACCTGGGACGGGCTTAAGGAGAGGGCAGCGTTTATGGAGCAGGCGGAGCGGATTTATGAACAAGGCAGGGAAGGAAGGCTTCGACATACATTATTAACCTCTAAGTGTATCTCTAAACAAAAGGAGAAAACTTTATACACAAGCTGAGACTTTGCTACTTTTATTTTAACAGATAACTGTTGGAAGAACACAAAGTATACTTCGGGTGGAAATGGAAATTTGTGATTCTCTGGGAATCAAGACTTCTGCTAATCCTCTGCGCACTGACTAGATGGACCTGAAACTACAAGATATCTTTCACCGTTGAGTCGCTAGTACATAGATTCATCTGGTAAAGGTATTGAGGCATACAGCCTAAAATAATGATCATCATTTATGTGCCCAAATCGCCCCTCCCATCCCCGAAAGCCAGCTGAGCGCTTTCCTGAGTCAGATTTGCACAACTCTAAGGAGGAGGGGAAAACAAAAGAAACACCACCAACCAACTTCGTGGAATGCCGTACTTTTCAAGTCAGGCTTTTAGAAGACTAATGTTATCCTGCCTCATTTTTCAGTGCTTGGTTTGCTGTCTCCAATAATTCACAGTCTGGAAATGAGTTCATCGCAGGATAGAAAGGTTAGGTTTTAATATCTTAGGGATTCACTTGGTTACCTGCCCAAAGCTGTGACCACCTACTGCCCGTTCAATCCCCACGGTCAGCTGATTTTCTTGCTGCGGTAGTTAAAAGGAAGAACTGAAATGACTCTCCTGAGAGGTCTGGGGTCAGGGTCAGTGGCTTTATCAATATTACGGCAGCAAAGGTATAATAAAGCAAAAGAAATCTGAATTACAAAATTATATTTAAAAAAAAAAATCAGGCTGGCCAGGGCCGGTTTCCCGCTTTTGATATTGGACCACAGTTGTGTCAGATGCAACCACTGGGGGAAGCTGGATGTAGGGGATCTCTCTGCTTTATCTTTGCAACTTCCTGAGAATCTATAATTATTTCAAAATAAAAAATGTTTTAAAAATCAGACAGTCACGGCTTCCCTGGTGGCGCAGTGGTTGGGAGTCCGCCTGCCGATGCAGGGGACACGGGTTCGTGCCCTGGTCCGGGAAGATCCCACATGCTGCGGAGCGGCTGGGCCCGTGAGCCACGGCCGCTGAGCCTGCGCTCCGCAACGGGAGAGGCCACAGCAGTGAGAGGCCCGCGTACCGCAAAAAAAAAAAAAAAAACAAAAATCAGACAGTCATTAAGTAAAGGTTACTAAATTCCATCTTGGCGGCCGTCGGGAAATGTAAGAGAGCTCTCTGCTAGACTCTGCAGCAGTCGCCCATAGCTCCTGCCAGCTCCTAGACCCCTGATATGCTGCTGTCAGTTTTAAAATCAGCTTTAAATTGATCTGACGTTCTAAAAGGAGCCCACAGTGTCGAAGCAAGGAGCTAATATCCTGTTTAAGAGTAGGAAGGACATGAATAAATAATTTTCAAAGCCAAATAAAAAGAGAATCTCAACCCCATACCTTTATTCTGACTCACTTTTAGCTGGTTCTCTGTGATCTCAGGGAAGATTCTAGAAATGAGCACAGCCATTGGGCATGTCACCAATTTCACTACCTATCCTGCCAATTTAAAAATGCAAATCCCCAAGTGACCCAGATTCTTTGAAGATGGTGAACCATAAAACGAGCTAGAAATTCTAAAACAGTTTTCAGTGAATTCACACTTTGGGTCTTAAAGATGCCAGTGATTAAAAAACAAACCAAAAAACCCTTGAAAAGTGACGTGCTGGGGTCTGTGTATAGACGCAGTTGCTTACAAGGGTCTATTCACAGCCCCACCTGGGCAAGTATGAACGGAATCCAGCTCCACCTCCCACAAAACCTCCAACAGAACAGAATGAAGTGAGCTGTTTTTATGTAAGTTTATCTAAACAGCACTAGCACATCTGATCAGCTCTGTCAACTGGCAGGAGGAAGGAAGATCAGTAGTCATATGTAAAAATCAACTGGTTGATCGACCAAAGTTTTCCATATTTCAATTGGTTGCGTAGGATCATATAGACATAACCTGAAAACACGGTGATCTAACAATTATCTTAAACATGTTTAAGGAAATATACACACTTTTGGTACCAATCTTATTCTTTACTTATTCTATACTTCATTGATGACTTCCTTCGAAGTGAATGACTGTAAAATTGAACAAACTAGCGTAGTTCAGTTTATGAAGTTACAAAATGTAACATTCTAAGGTAGTTCAATTTCTGGCAGACACTACATATAAATAAGAGAACTGAAGTCTTCTGCACCCCTAGGATGTGCATGGACTTTTAGATTCAGAAATACGGATTAGAAGCTAGAAGGCAACTTTTTGGTTATCTACAGATGCTGCCCAAGAAGAAATGTTTATCAGATTTCAAAGGACACAGTTGTACATTGGCAGCTGGCAGCTTTCCAAGTAAAATGTCATTAGCAAGTGAAACTTGATTATCGTCAAAACCAGCCCAGGAAATTCAGGTGTAAGATGCCTGAAAGTCCACCTCGTCCCTAAAAGAAACTGCGACGCTCCCCATCCAGTCTTTTGAAGAACTGCCTGTTAACAGTCATAGTTGTGGGGAGAAACAACTCCAATGTTTTAAAGTTTTTTGTGTTTTTGGTTTTTTTTTTAAGTTGTATTAAATATAAGTCTTAGCACCTTTGGCATTTTTGTCCAAATAGACTTCGACGTATGAAGTGGGGACATAACCCTCTTCGTCTTCACTTCTCCGGATGCGGGTCCACCCGTCACCTTTGTCTTCCTCTATAACGTACAGTGTTTCTCCTTCAGCTACTGAAATGGTTCCTTCGTTCTGACCTGAAAAAGCAATATCAGAGTATTTTAGGTTTCTTGTCAAATCCGGGTTGAGAGCACAGCTTTGCAACGACGAAGCAAGTGTAGGGAAAGATGGACGCACTGACCCTTCTGCTCTCCTCCCACACAGAAGCTTCCAGGTCCTCACCTTGCGTCTCTCTAGGACCCTCTTCTAACTCCTCCTGGGAGCCCTCTCGTTCCTCCCTCCCAGAACAGGAGGTATTTTCCGCAGAGGAAATCTTGGGTCTGCTTCTCTACTCTTCCCTGAAGGTACTCCTACGGCGTCAATTACATCTCCTTACACAGCACCCCGACTTTTCTTTCTCCTGTTCTGGTTCTCGTCTGAGGCAAGGTTCCACTTCACCTTCTGCCTGAAGCCCGTTTCCACCTTGATGGTACCCGGGCACCTGGAACGCGATAGGGGTGAACCCGGACTCGCTGTTTTTCCTCCCACTTTCCCATTTCAGTGGACATCTCCATCATCCCAGGAATGCAACTTCAGGGATCATCTGTGATTTCCTCCCCTCTTTGTATACTGGCTGCAGCATCTCTGCGTCCATTCCTTAATCAAGGCCCCGAACACCATTTGCTAAGATAATTTCAAAAGACTAGCCACCATCGCCCAAGCAGTGTCCTGAAAGGCAGACTGTTTAGGGGGCTGTTAATAGCGGTACTGTGGGCGCGGGGGGGAGAGGGATGGTGTGGCCGGGAAGTAAAACCGGGAACATTTAACCTGGTACTTCCCTTTCTTATTTTGTCATAATGAATATTTAGTTTATTAAAGGCTCTAAAAGTCCTAGAGTAAAGGGAATTCCCTGATGGTCCAGTGCTTAGGACTCTGTACTTCCACTGCAGGGGGCCCAGGTTCAATCCCTGGTCAGAGAACTAAGATCCTGCAAGCTGTGAGGTGTGGCCAAAAGAAAAAAAAAAAAAAAGTCCTACAGTAAAGAGATTCATTTATCCCAGGGCTTCTGAAAATGATCTGAGCTCTGATTGCTTCTTTCACAACATCCTTATCAGCATCCTGCAAGGTGCCGTTTCAAGGCTCACAGTTTAGGAAACGCTAGGCTCGTCTTTCTAACCAATTTCCCTGTCTTCTAACCGATCCGACACATACAGTAAATGTCTCAAGGTACAGCTCTGCTCGTGTCAGCAACCTGCTCAAATACTTTCAGTAGTTTCTCGACGTTTGCCAAATAAAATCCAGATGTTTCTGTTACCCATACCCCCCACTGGCACCGCCTACCCCCTCATCTTACCACCTAAGACATCTGAGCGCCAGCCATACGAACCCCATACCTTCCTCGCTCCACGCTTGGCAGTGCCCGTGCCTCTGACACACTTCAGCACGGAGAGTTCTCCAAACCCCCTTAAGGAAGTGATCTCATCCTCGCGCGAATCCCCCGTCACTCTGTACCCCTCCTCTGGTGAATATTGCAGGCGGCCCTCTCTCTACGTGTGTCTGCTTTATTTCCTCCAAAGGTGGAAGCCAGAACATACCATCTGCCTGCCACCCTTTCAGGGGTCTTTACAAGACAGAAGTTCTATAAGTATTGAATGAATGGATGAAATAATCATTATTCCATACTATCTGCTTCAGTTAAGCTCACTGAAAGTTGTTCGAATGTACAGCCATCGACCAGATCATAATCATAAACACAGATACCACGAGCAGAGCAAAAGAGCAATGAGGGAAAGTTCTGGATGACTTCAAAAGAAAGCCTGATCACAGAAAGAGAAGAGTGACTCAGACAGTTCACGAGAAGTGGGGCGAATTAGGTGAGACGCGGTGTTACCTTCGAACGTGTAGAGAGCTTTACACGTCCCTATGGCGGGGAGGGATTCCTCATCATCAAACTCATCGTCGAAATCCGTGGCCAGCACCTTGACCTCACTCTCCTGACTCTGGTCCTCCGTGTAACTGCCATCCGGGCTGCTCAAGAAAGCAAAACACACAGCAACTATAGCCACTGACCCCAGCGAGGGCTTGAATTCAGCCCCCGCGAGAGCAAAGTGCTTGCAACCCGCCCCCGTCCCCATCCCCCGATTGTTGTAACTAGGACCATCTTCAGTCACCCCGCAGGCTCGGGCACCATCCACGGGGACTTAGACACCTGCACCGTGGGAAACGTCACAGGCCAATCATCACAGACGCTTGGGATCTAACAAGTACCTTGTGCTCGTCTCTGATTCCAGAATTGAGAAATAAATACAAAGTCAAAAGCAGTCTCCGTACAGATACTGTACCTCTCCCGATCCTGTGCACAGTTGTTGACGGCGGGGGGGTTCTGCACATCGTACATGCCGCTGTGCCGACGGGCCTGTTCGCTGCGTGCTGGGAGTCTGCCTTCAACCTCGGCCAGCCAGGCCTGCAAACAGAAGGCAGGAAAGAATGGTCTGAGCTCAGCTGAGGGCCTGACCGTGCAGGCTTCAGGCCCCAAGTCGGGGCTGCTCGTTGGTCACTGAAGCAGACTGGAGACGGACCCCGTGGGGGCAGAGTCTCCAGTCTGTGTGCCTTGACTGTATAAATGTACTCAAAGGCAAAGTTGGAGAAGTACAGGCAAACATATGTAGCCACTGCTCATAATGGGGCAGAAAGACACTGGCCTCCGTTATACTCCTGGGCTTTTTAAGCAGCTGTGTGATTTTGGTTAAGTCATTTCTAGTTCCTTCTGGTTCCAGAAATTCTGTGACCATGAGGTCACACTGGGAAACGTGAGGGTTCCTGCCACACTTAAGCCATGACTCAGTTTGAAAGCCACACTTCCCATTTTTGTTAAGGAGTGTAACGTTTTTCTTTTTTTAAACAGTGAAGAAAACTCATACGTAGGAAATCAAAGTAGATCAAAGTATCTTCGGCAACATTGGAAATAGTGTAAAAGAGGCAAAAGAATCAAAATGATCAGAAAAGGACATTTCTAGATTCTAAAACCTCGAATGCTAATACCTTATTGACAGATTCTAGAAAGAATGAAAAAAGCCATATTTGACCTTTTATTGCTAGAAATAATCTATTCTGGTTGGAACACTCAGTTACTAATTTATTTTTCCAGGCTTTGTAGTCTTTACATTTCGAGGGGAAAAAGAAGCCTTCTGCCCACAGCTTTTTTTTTTTTTTTTTTTTTTGCGGTACGTGGGCCTCTCACTGCTGTGGCCTCTCCCGTTGCGGAGCGCAGGCTCCGGTCGCGCAGACTCAGCGGCCGTGGCTCACAGGCCCAGCCACTCCACGGCATGTGGGATCTTCCCGGACCGGGACACGAACCTATGTCCCCTGCATCGGCAGGCGGACTCTCAACCACTGCGCCACCAGGGAAGCCCTGCCCACAGCTTTTGAGTGCCCCACTCCCTCCTTAAAAGATTTATTATTTGTGTTTCTTCCTCATTTCTTATGTGTGTTTCCTATTGGTTTTCACATATATCATCTTTTGATAATGGATCCTTTGAAAGAACAGCTCCCCGCCCCCCAGAAGTAAACCCTTGTATTTATGATCAATTGATTTGCGACAGAGGGGCCAAGACAATTCAAGGAGGAAAAGGCCTTTTCAACAAATGGTGCCGGGACAACATAAAAAAGAATGAAGGTGGACCTCTACCTTTAACCATATACAAAAATTAACTCAAAACGAACCGTCGACCTAAATGTAAAAGCTAAAACTATAAAACTTAGAAGAAAACATAAGCATAAATGTTTGTGATCGTGGATTAGGCACTGGTAACTTAGCTATGAAACCATAAGCACAAGTGATAGAAGAAAAAAAAATTGATTCCATCAAAATTAAGACTTTTGGGGACTTCCCTGGCGGTCCAGTGGTTAGGACTCGGTGCTTTAATTGCCGTGGTCCGGGTTCAATCCCTGGTCGGGGAACCAAGATCCTGCAAGCCGTGTGGCATGGCCACAAAAACACAAACATAAATAAAACTTTTGTGTTTCAAAGGACACCTTGAAGAGAGTAAAACAACAGTCCACAGAATGGGAGAAAATATTTGTAAATCCTAGATCTGAAAAGGAATTTGCATCCAGAGTATATTTTGAAAACTTTTACACCGATACCAAAGCCAGGCAAGGACATTATAAGAAAATTACAAATATCAATGGCTTTTTAAAAATTGTCTTTTGGATTCACTGAGATGATGGACGACCGTATATTCCCAATTATACCCACTGTCAACAGGAGATGAAGTAGAACAACTTAAGTGAAACACTTAGATGAAAAAAAAAAAACAATGAACACTGTATACAAATATAACCTTAAATAGCGTCCCTTTTAAGGGACACCATTAAAATAGGACATGCTGAAAAGCTGAACACCCAGTGGATGACAGTGTCTTTTTCCTTTTATCATAACTCGTGAGACACCTGATTTTTCCAGCTGCATCTCTCGTAGGGAAAGAAACAATGGCGATTTACAACCATATGCGTCTCGTGACCCCCTACACCCACTTCTATTTCTTTTTTTTCCAACAAAGCTTTTCCACAACAGCTTCTTCCTACCTCAAATTTCTGGGCCTCCAGTCTCAGTTTTTCTATATTTTGGCTGACTTCTGCCAATTTGTGATCCAAACTGGCGGGGTCTCCCATTTGCGGATTCTTTAGGTAGACATCTTTCATTTTTGTGATGGCATCTCTGAAAAGAAGGGGCAGAACGTGGTAAAGGTTAATGCTGTCGTCAGCCAGTCATATTCTCCCACCGCCATGAAAACTACGGGAATGAGGGCGTGGCGAGACTGCACCGCGGTGTGGATTGGAGGGGGATACTGGGTCAGCCTCCCTTCTAAAACGTCTCTATAAGGATTCTGCTACCAAGGTCTGTACGATCCAGAGACCCATATGTAAATTCCAGTTGCCTTTTCGGAACGAAATCTCCCTCTTGTCTTTAGCGAGTGAGAAACGTAAATTAATCCTGCACATCACTTTGCCCTATGTAACAAGAGACAAAACCCCAATATTTCCACGTACGTGTTTTGCATGCAAACCATGGGTCTTGTGGGCTGCAATGTTTACCTCATGAAGAAGCGCAGGTCATTGCTTTGGGAATTCTAAGGATTAAGTTAAACAGTTCGATTTCAACGATTTAAGAAACGGAACCCACAGTCGGGATCCGTGACAGGTGGGCAACAGAGCCTTAAACCTACACACTGCAAGATCCCACACCCCTCCTGCAATCCTGTCTGGAAGGCCGCCCATAGCAGCCCTCTGAAGGTTGTTTCTAGGACCAGAGAGCTCTGCTAACTGGAACCCTGGCTTCAGGGCACTTCAGGAGCATTCGAGTTAAATTTAGAGCAAATGGCTTCCTGCCGAGGGTGAGGGGCTAACTTTAATGAGCTTCAGCAAAAGAAACTCTGCACCAATCACCCAGCATAAGACCAACAACACAAACTGTATTTTGAGTCACGGGAAATAGTTTAATCAAAAATACAGAAATAAGTGGAAGAGAATTTCCACAAGTCCTCACCACCCCTCCACCTGCCCCCTTGCCTCTGAGCCCGTATTGCCCCTTGGTGGGCACAATGAACCCTCTGTTCTTCCCTAAGACCATGTCTCCACGGGAGCCCTCCACCCACTTGCCCTCCCAGCCCACCTACCTCGCTCTACTTTCTTTTATTTCCACTGCACGTATCTCTTCCCAACAGTATATGACTTGTTATGATGCTTGCTTATTGTCTGTCTCTCCCACCTAGAACAGCAGCTCTCCGAGGAGCTCTCTGGGCTCAAGCCCTTTATGACCATGATAAACCCCCAGTGACTGGACCACGCCTGGTGCACTATAGATCTCACTACGTATTTGTTACATGAATAGGTGTCCCTACAACAAACAAACTGCAAGGTCACCCACATGTACACAAGTCTTCTCTCGACTTCATGGCCTATACCTCCAGTACCCTATTTCTCAGCAAAACTTCTCAAGAGTTGTTTAAAATCACTATCTCCCATTCCTCTCATCCAGGTCTCTCCTAATCAATCTCTGCAGGTTTTTCAATTTTGTTAATCATTTCAAGGAACCAGCTTTTGGCTCTGTTCATCCTCTCTGTTGAATGTGTGATTCTATTTCATTAATTGATAGTTTCCTTTATCGTTCCGTTTCTTCTATTTTCTTTGGTTCAATTTGCTACTCTTTTTCTAACTTCTTAAGAGGGATGCTTAGCTCATTGATTTGCAGCCCTCTTTGTTTCTAATATGTATTGGTAGCTTTAAATTTCCTTGTATAAGCATGGCTTTAGTGACATCCCCAAAACGGAGATGGAGAATGTACGTTAAGGTTAAGGTTCAGTTCCGTTTCATATATTTTCTAGTATCTATGATGACTTCTTCCTTAATCTATGTGTTACTTAGAGCCACATTTCTTTCTTTTTTTTTTTTTAAGCAGTAAAAACAGGTTTTATTTTTAAAAAAATCAAAAAACAATTGCAATCGGGGAAAAGACACCTCAGTTTAGAGCTGGGCTCGATTCCTAATACAGTAAAGACAGCTGGGGATTTTTAGCCAATAAGCAGAATGAGGGACTCAGTGGATGGAAAATCAAAGGTGAGTGGAATGATTTCTGCTAAACCAACTTAACAGGATTCTTCCTGACTTCATGCCAGAGTGATAAGAAGGGTGGGGAGCCTTTCTAACTTGACTGAGCAGGCTTCTTGCTGTAACTGAGCCCTGCGGAGAGCCACATTTTATTTTATTTTATTTTTTAAGGGGGTATAGCTGTTTTACAATGTTGTTAGTTGAGAGCCACATTTCTTTCTTTTTCTTTTTTTTGCGGTACGCGGGCCTCTCACTGTTGTGGCCTCTCCCGTTGCGGAGCACAGGCTCCGGACACGCAGACTCAGCGGCCATGGCTCACGGGCCCAGCTGCTCCGCGGCATGTGAGATCTTCCCGGACCGGGGCACGAACCCGTGTCCCCTGCATCGGCAGGCAGACTCTCAACCACTGCGCCACCAGGGAAGCCCCACATTTCTTAATTTCTAAATTTTTGTTATTGATATCCAGCTTAATTGCAGCCTTCAGAGAACGTACTTTGAATGATGTCTATCCTTTGATGTTTGTTGAGATTCATTTTATAAAACCAGGATATGCCCAATTTTTGGAAATGTTCTATGTGTGCTTGAACATGCACTTATTGGCTATCTGTGTATTAGGTCAATTTTGTTAATTATTTTGTTCAAATCCTCTATCCTGACTCTCTGCTAATCTATTCTATCAATTACCGAGAAAAGTACGTGACCAATCTCCCACTGTAATGATGTGCTTGTATTTCTTGTACTTATGTCAGAAGGGCAACAGCATAACCTTTTCTATATTTTGAGGTGATGCTAGTATGGTTCTACAGACTTAAAATTGTATGTCTTCTTGGTGAATTGAGCCATTTGTTATTTGAATCATTTATTTTATGAAGTTGATCCTTTTGAGCTGAATAGTTTGGGGTGTTTTTTGGCCTGAAAGTCAGTGTTCTCACACCAGTTTTCCTTCTGGTTGGTACCTGCATGGTCTGTCTTTTTCCATTCTTTTTAATTAATTAATTAATTAATTTTTGGCTGCATTGGGTCTTGGTCGTTGCGTGCAGGCTTCTCATTGCGGTGGCTTCTCTTGTTGCGGAGCACGGACTATAGGCATGCGGGCTTCAGTTGTTGTGGCATGCGGGCTCAGTAGTTGTGGCTCACGGGCTTAGTTGCTCTGCGGCATATGGGACCTTCCCAGACCAGGGCTCGAACCCCTGACCCCTGCATTGGCAGGCGGATTCTTAACCACTGCGCCACCAGGGAAGCCCCATCTTTTTCCAGTCTTTGCTTTCAACCTTTCTGCACTTTATGAGTTGGACGTGTCTTTTGTAACTAGCATACATGTGGGTTTTAGTTTTTTGTCCAGTCTGAAAATCTCTTAGTTGGAACATGTAGTCTGTTCACATCTAACATACTGATTCGTTTTATTTTACAAACACAATATGCCAGGCACTGTCCTCAGCACTTGTCATACCCTGACACACTTAATCCTCATACACAGGCATATTAACTCCCTTTTCAAGGTGAGGAAACCGAGGTGCTAAGAGGTTAAGAATCTTGTCCAAAGTTTGCAAAAGAAACAGGTGGAACCAGATTGGAATCCGGGGTGTCTAGTGTGCTTGGTATTTTAAATCTTCCACTCTATTTTGTGCTTTTGATTTGTCCTGCCTATTCTATATATTAATATTTTTTCTCTCCTTTCTTGCCTTTTTGGATTATTAAAAAAAACAAAACTGAAAACAAAAATCCAGCCTTTTCCAGATCGTGCCACCTCTGCTCAAAACCTTTCATTTTCTGTTCCTCCTGCACAAAATGTAAGTTGCATGAGAACAGATGTTTTTGATGTTTTGTTCATCGCTTTATCCTCATTGCTATACCTAGAATATTTCCTTGTACACAGTAAATGCTCGATAAACAGAGGTGAAGTGAATGGTTGAACGTGATTTGCCTTATTACCAGCAAGCACTGCTCTGGGGTTTCAAACGTTAACCAAGTTCCACGGCCACAACCCAAGTGACAGAGAAACTTTTCTGAATGATATCAAACAATTAGAGAGAGTCTGTCAACAACCTATAAAATGTCATTTCAGATATTTGAGTCATAACTTGTTACTCCTGTGCAGAATATAAGTGCTCACTTAGTAAACAGCAGGAGGTTTATAATACATTTAGAAACCCTTTTATATTTGGTCCCAGATGTTATAAAACATACAAAGACTTCTATTTATAAAAAGTACAAAAAATTTTTATTTCATAAAGTCTATTTTTAATATAAAACTAGAACAAAGTTCATCTGTGTTCCTCTTTTTAACATACTGCAACAATATTTATAAAACGATCTATTTTTCAGGAGGTGCTCTCCCAGAGATTAAAAAAAAATCAAAACCCACTTTTCTTTTGCATGTACTTAAACTGACTGCCTTACCAAGTTTGTTTATTTTTTGCACAACCAAGTTTTAACCCCAGCTTCAATATAACTAAATTTATGTAGGACTACAATTTGGCCTACTTATATAGAGCACAAAATCTCAAGTTATCTTTTAAGTTCAAATCGCCATTAATGATGATTCACTTAATTCCGTCAGTGAGGATATAGAAGGTGAGAGAATAAAAAGTGGCTGTTCTTTTCCTTTTTTTTTTTTTTTTTTAGCGGTATGCGGGCCTCTCACTGCTGTGGCCTCTCCCGCCGCGGAGCACAGGCTCCGGACGCACAGGCTCAGCGGCCATGGCTCACGGGCCCAGCCGCTCCGCGGCATGTGGGATCCTCCCAGACTGGGGCACGAACCCGCGTCCCCTGCATCGGCAGGCGGACTCTCAACCACTGCGCCACCAGGGAAGCCCCCTTTTTCTTTTTTTTAACTGGAGTACAGTTGATTTACAATGTTGTGTTAGTTTCAGGTGTACGGCAAAGTGATTCAGTTATACATATACATATCTTTTTCTTTCCAGATTCTTTTCCCTTATAGGTTATTATAAAATATTGAGTATAGTTCCCTAAAGTGGCTTTTCAATCAGGATTATTAGCAAGTATCCCGTAAATGATGTGAAGGTATTATTCGTTATAAATGTGGGAAGGAAGTGCAAATGGGAAGAGATATTGAACCTTTTCCTAATTTTTTCTTTTCTTTTTTTGCATATGTACCAACCTACCATCCCTAGGATCAAACTTATAGAACAGCTCAGAAACCAGGGGCCTCTCACAGTGGGAGCCTGCGCAGATGGGCAGGTGCTTGTCAAGAACAAGCAAATATTTACACCTCTGATGGCTGGTGATGTGTATAAGACATACTGTGACTTGTTTTCTAGATACCATCAACACACTCTATAAAAAGACAAGAAGACATGAGAATCTATAGGAAGGCTGATTTTTACTTACCCTCAAATAGAAAGACAAGTACATTTTGTATCCAAAGCTCCGACGTGGGGCAAGGGATAGGGTGGGGGTCATGCCACTTTGCTCTTCCTCATTTGTACAAAAACTTCACCTCTACACTCATGATAGAGAGAAAACAGGAGTTCCCTGGTGGCCTAGTGGTTAGGATTCCGGGCTTTCACTGCCACAGCCCGGGTTCAATCCCTGGTCAGGGAACTAAGATCCTACAAGCCACGTGGTACGGCCAAACTAAACAAAAACAAAAACCACCAGAAAATCTTTTTGAAGCCAGTTGGAGCCTGAGATGTCTTGTCATTGTCTGAAGATTCTTCAATCTCTACATGTGCCTCTCTATCCAGAAAGCTAGAGAGGCACCATTTGTCCCCACCGGAATGGCAGGTTTTTGCAGCAATCGTTGCATATGGATTATATAGATTGAAGAGCAGGGGAGATACTAAAATGTCTGTTTATTTGATCCACGTGCGCGTGGCAGCCCAAGGCTTTGTTATGAGAGCAATGGCTCTTGGTGCGGGCTATTCCACATACCGAGAATTCTGGGCGAAACCTAAACCTTGGAACAGGAGAAGCTGTCTTGGTCTTGTTGGCGGTGCTTGCTTTACTTAGACATCTCGTATTGAGATTGTATGTTTATGTTGAAAATAAACTGGGTCAGACGATAACATGGTAATTTGAACACTGGCGTCCTTTCTTGCAGGCTTGGTTTGCCTGGTGACCAAGTTACCGTGACTAGTTCACTAGCTAGGTCATTCAGGGGTGTCAAATTAGCACAGAGGAAACATGTCACTTTTAAATGCACTTGGTAGTGGTACGATGTCCACCTTATTTTTTTTTTTAAGATTTATTTATCATTAATTTATTTATTTTATTTATTTTTGACTGTGTCAGGTCTTAGTTGCGGCATGGGGGATCTTCGTTGTGACGCGCGGGCTTCTCTCTAGTTGTGGCGCGTGGGTTTTCTCTTCTCTAGTTGTGGAGTGCGGGTTTTCTCTTCGCTAGTTGTGGCGCACAGTCTCCAGGGCGCGTGGGCTCTGTAGTTTGTGGCATGCAGGCTCTCTCGCTGAGGCGCGCAAGCTCAGTAGTTGTGGCGCGTAGGCTTAGTTGCCCCCCGGCATGTGGGATCTTAGTTCCCCGACCAGGGATCGAACCTGCGGTCCCCTGCATTGTAAGGTGGATTCTTTCCCACTGGACCACCAGGGAAGTCCCCAATGTCCACCTTCTTAAACTCTTCTGATGAATTTAGTTCTAAAGAGGACAACACGCCAGTCAATCCTGAAACGCTCCCAGTTAGTTGCTGCAGAATATCATATGCTTTTGACGTGATGTAGGACTCTTATTTACCCCAGTTAATTTAACTCTTTCTGACTGCCTTGTGGACTGAGTACTGTTTTGAGGGCTGGTTGGCTTTTGAGGAACGCTTTCAGGAACGGAATACAACATTATAAACCTCCTAGCAATTATGTGTATGTTTTTAAACCAAACCTAAAAAGCTGATAACAGAGCTGCTTAGAAATAGTATTTATTTCAGAATCATAGTTGTAAATATGAAAATAACTTAAGGGACTTCCCTGGTGGTGCAGTGGTTAAGAATCTGCCTGCCAATGCAGGGGACATGGGTTCGATCCCCGGTCTGGGAAGATCCCACATGCCGCAGAGCAGCTAAGCCCGTGAGCCACAACTACTGAAGCCCGCGTGCCTAGAGCCCGTGCTCCACAACAAAGAGAAGCCACCGCAATGAGAAGCCCGCACACAGCAACGAAGAGTAGCCCCTGCTCGCCGCAACTAGAGAAAAACCACACGCAGCAATGAAGACCCAACGCAGCCATAAAGAAATTAATTAATTTAAAAAAAAATAATTGTAGATCCCCGTTTAGCACTTTTGTAATTGCAGGGCTATATTTTGCTGCTGTTATATTAGAATATTTTTTTTATTGGAGTAAAATTGCTTTACAGTGTTGTGTTGTTTCTACTGTACAATGAAGTGAATCAGCTATATGTGTACATATATCCCCTCCCTCGTGGACCTCCCCCCTGCCCCCACATCTAGGTCATCACAGAGCACCAAGCTGAGCTCCCTGTGCTACACAGCAGGTTCCCACTAGCTATCTAGTTTACACATGGTAGTGTATTTATGTCAAACCTAATCTCCCAATTCGTCCCATCCTCCCCTCCCCACCCCGTGTCCACATGTCTGTTCTCTACATCTACGTCTCTATTCCTGCCGTACAAATGGGTTCATCTGTACCATTTTTCTAGATTCCACACATATGCGTTAATATACGATATTTGTTTTTCTCTTTCTGGCTTACTTCACTCTGTATGACAGTCTCTAGGTCCATCCACATCTCTACAAATGAGATGTTGTTCCTTTTGTTCCAATGTTGTTCCAATTTTGTTCCTTTTTATGGCTAATATGCATTTTGAAACAGAAATGTGTTTTTTAAGTGCTAATGCAAAGGTAAATGAAAAACACTTTTTAAAATGTGTATAGTATGTTTATTTTCTCTATAAGAATCATAAATATTAAACTAAATAGATCACCTATAATGGAAGTGACTTATGAGCAAACTGGTTTGGTCAGACATTATACAAACTTCGGTATCCTACAGAATGCTTTGCTGTACTTGTGAAATTTTCTTGTCTAACCTGAATTTACATTCCATGGTGATAGCATGGTGAATGTAGCATTATTAAAGTAAGTGAACACATACAAAAATGAAGAAGATAGTCATGTGTATTTTGTTGTCCAAACTCAGAATAATACCTATTTGTTAAAAGAACCCTCCCTGTCTTTACTAAAGCAATCCAGTAGACTACAACCAAACACGCGGCTAAAATAATCACTGGGATTAAAATCTGATGTAGGGCCTCCCATCTTTCCAAACCGAACTCAAATGTCTTAATAAGTCATATCGATCCACTCTACCTTTGATCCATCTCCTTTTGAATTTCTTTATTTAATTCATCGACTTTCTGTTGTAGCTTTTTCCTTCTCTGTTCAGGTGGGAGGTTGCTGAAATCTTCTGGAGTCGCACCCTGCAGATGCAAAAAGAAATAGAAACCTCACGGCACTCCTTGACAAAAAGACACCGAGGGAAGCCTGCGGGAAAGAGTCCCCAGACAACAGGGCAATGCAGACGTCTGCATGTGTTTTCATGAACTAAATTAAGCTCTTTCCCACGACACCCAGCTGAGATGCAAAAATCAGTGCATGCAAACTGCAAAAGGCCCGCACACCGTTTTCATGCCGGCCCAGACACCTCTGACAAGGCAGGGAGCACCGAGACAGGAAGATATACTTTTGACTCGAGAGAGGATCAATGAAAAACAAATTTGGAGACTGATTCTGCACTTTAGTGTCAGTGTCGGTGGCAACACTGAAGCTTTAGGTTTGTTTCTTCACATAAAACAGTGATAAGTGCCCCCGCCAACTGCTGCATTTCGATGGCATTGCTTCCCCCACCCCACCCAGCCTGAGTATTCCTTCCCGTCTCCTCACACAGGCCGAGGCCGAAAAGTGAAGTGACAGATGGGACGTCTAGTTCCTCAGAGAATGTGGGTAAAAGGGACATTAAAAAAAAAAATCCCCGCCCCACCTCCCTCCCACGTACTCTTCTTGCCTCTGCTGCCTCTAAAAATCTGGTCGGTTCTTTTTCATCATCGTTAGGATCATCTCAGAGAATTCATAGAGAACACCGCCCCCAGCCCCAGATTCAAACCCAACAACCCACAGTGTATGAAATCAGCCTCAGCTGTTTCTAATTCATCAGAAGTAGTGTACTTTGATATCTTGATTCCCTTTCAAAAAAATTGCTCTCTCTCCTCTGTGCATGTGATTTAAGTAGAAAATATCAACCGTGAGTTTCTAGACTCCTACCTACGCTTACATGTCAGAAGCTGTAGCTAAGCTGTGGCCATCAAGTGCTTTTCCTTAAATGAGGCTATTTTCATAAAGAAAGAGAAATTTATCAATAGCCAGGGATAAGCCAGGGAATTTAGAAAAGAGATTTTGCTTTAGAACCAATTAAACAAAGGCAAGACAGGCTTGCCTGGGAGCGGGTGGAAAAGAAGGGACCCGGATAATGTAACTGCAAAATTAGCTTGAGTTTGCCAAGCAGCTTACACGGGGGCTTGTGACTGAAGTTCCTAGGCTGCTTATGAGAAAATGCCAGGCTGCTGTGCTGGAAGTTTGTGATTCAGCAAATAGTTCACCACTAAGGCCACCAAAGACCTTTCAGCTAATAGTCTCAAAGACTTGTGTGCGTGTGTGTGTGTGTGTGTGTGTGTGTGTGTGTGAGTGAAAAGCAAAACAGAAGTGATTATTCCCTAATGCCAAACCAAGGAAGTTCAACTTGCTTCTAAAACTAAGATGAAGCCCAGTAATCTTCAATATAAAAATAAAGCAGACCTGTTTTTCCTTTTCCATAAACTATTGTGCTGTAACACTTGAAACCTTCATTAAGTGCTTTTCAATTTTCTCAACTCAATCACTGAGCCTGAAAGCTCAGTACTTTGTTCTCATGCTGAATTGACTTAAAAGAGATCAGCATGTTTTCTAGAACAGAGATTTTGGTTTTGTTTTCATTTTTGTTTTAATGTTAGAATGCGACAAAACACAGCGTGAGATACACTGCTGCAGAGGTCAGCAAACCTAGTAAGCAGTCAGTGTTCACTCATACATATCTATTGAGCCTCGCTATGTGCTATGAGACCCAAAAGAACTTTCTCAGTGATGGAAATGTTCTCACATCTGCACCGTCCAATATAGTAGCCGCATATGGCTGTTGAGCCCTTGAAGTGTGCCCAGTACAACTGTGGAACCGAATTTTAAAATTTTAGTTACTTTTCATTTAAATTAAGTTAAATTTAATTAAGTTACCTGTGGTGAGTGGATACCACATTGTACCACATAGGTCTAGACTGTGAACAGGTGTAAGGTTTGCACTGGATAAACAGGTGCAAAGAAATCTGTAGTAAACAACACTCTAACTTATGACTTATAAATAGATGGCTCAAACAACGACAACAACAAACGCAACCCTGATCATCTACAGAAACGAAAGCAATTAAATAATAAATGATCCCTTTCACTTGATCAGGAGTTAGTCTAACTGACCAGTTAGGTCCCTTTCAATAGATAGTCTATATTTCTGTGTTGTTATTTAAAAACCAATCCCAGTAACTATGCCTCAAACAAACTTCATGTGACCATTGGAGATTCAGGTCAACAGCTTCTTCTAGATCCAAAGAAACTCGAGGTTTCTGGAAAGTACCTTCAAAGGTTCATTTTGTCCTATTCACCTTTTGAAGCTTGAATTCTTTCGAACAATACTCTCACCTATGATTCATTTTGCCACAGAGGAATTTTTATTTCTACCTTCGAGGCAGAATAGATTTTCTGAACTCTCTGGAGGGGCCCCTAGGATACTGGCTGTACCAGGGTTTGGAAAAGGGGCCAAAATACGTATATTTTCAATGGCTGTGGCTCTAAGAGGATCTCGTTTTACCTGCTACTGGAATCAAACACTTGCTCCTGGGCAATGGCACGAGCTGCTTCTTGAGTTTTATTATCTTTACACCCAAGCCATCTGTGTGTAACTTCTCTATTAGCTTCAAAGTAAGGGCATCGAGCAGCAGTTCAATACAAGGTTGGTAAAATGATTTATCTCAAACAGAAAGACTGCCCGATAATGTTATCTTTAGCTGCTAGCACGTGAGCAAAAGAACAAATAAAGGGCAAAAAAGAAACCCTGGCATCCGAGAGACTCCCAGTTTATGGATCCAATTTCTCCCAAATTCATACTGCTGCTAATGACTGATGTTCATTTAAGATCTTTCCTTCTTGTAGAACTCTTCTCGGGATTTTATTTTGCCGTCTAAGAAATGTTTAATTTAATAAAATATTCCTTTTCCTTAGGGCTGGAACAGTCGCCAAATACTGAGTCAGGTTGAAAAATTATGTATATATATGTTTATGTATGTACTGAAACATGTATAAAAGTATGTATAAGGATAACCATAAAATATTGTCATACTTTCTCAACAGCAGCGCATAAAATGCTGGTCTTATCCCTGGTTGAAGTGTCACAGTTCATCACTGTCCGTAATTTTAGGATATTCTCAGCTGTGGTGTTGGAGACTATTACGTAACTTACACATATTTGAAGTACAGTAATGGGTTATGTGGTTAAGAGTTTCTTTTAATAGATTTAATGATTAGTTTGACTATTTACTAGGGCTATAGAATTAAAAGTAGAAACAACACCGAACACTAAAGAAATCATTTTAGAAAGGCTTAGGAGGCTCTTTTCATTGTCCATAAAATCGTCTTTGATTTCTTAAATCAGCCATGCACAAGGCACCCATGTATTTATGTAGCAACTTAAAGATTTCGTGACCTCCAATTCTCGAAGGTGCCTGAGACCTGAGTTGGAGCCCGGCATCATTCCTGCATGTCTCCCTCAGGTCCCCAGCATTTTTCATCTGCTTCTGTGGCTCCGGGGGAGGAGCAATTTTCAACGATTATATTTGCATTTATTCCGAATGATCCAATACATAAACTCCCTCATATCTAATATTCATGTTTATGTTCACATTTAAATAAAGTTTATCAACATCTGTCATCCTCTTAAGACTCCAGTGGTAAAGAAAACCAAATCATGAGTTAAGTGTTAATTTTCTTAGCAACTTGAAAAGATTACAGTCACCTCTGTTAGACTCTGGACCTTTGTATTCCAGAGGTCTAATAAAGAAACACCAACAAAAGCACACACAAGAGAAACACAAATCAACAGTTGACTCTGAAGATTTGTTGCACAATGGCACGGCACCACAAAACATACACCAAAAAACCTGATTAGATTCAGGACATGCATGGAGGAATTGTGCTTACCAGCTTGAGAGAAAGCTTCGTGTAAAAATTGAAGGGGTAACAGGGAAAAAAAGAGAGCGAGAGAGAGAGAGAGAGAGAGAGAGAGAGAGAGAGAGAAACAACAACACATGAGAAGAAGAGGAACTTGTCCATTACACTGAATTAACATACATCAATTCACCTGGCGCTTTGTGAAAATGATTTGCAGCGGTTCTGTGCCAAAGTTCCCAAGAGGGGCTGATCGACCAAAACCTTTCTCTAGCTGCCACATTGCCAGAGCAAAGTATAAAGATAGAAAAGGAGAGTTTCCGTCTACTGTTCTGGATTGGTCACATCAGCCTGAGTATAAACCAATATAAGTTTGCGGTCGGTGAAATAGCATGATTATAAAAGATGGAAATAATCACATAGCCTTTTGTTCACCAAATTTCCCATGGAAAGTTTCACACAGACTAAAAGCGTTGGGAAAGCAATTAGTTCCACAACATCCCAGTAATATTTTTATCTTAAGGAGATCTAATAAATACGAACAGTGGCATTTCCTAAAGGTATTAAGGCAAAGTCTCAAACTGGTAAATGGGAACACAGGACTGGAAGATGCTCTAAGAACCAACCTCCAGGGAGCCTTTCAGCGCCTGGCTGGAGGTGGAAGCATGATGCTCTCTCCCACCTGTGGACTGCATGCACCTCTTGCTCTGCAGAAGGTGTCTTCTGGGGCTTTCTATCGAACTCAGAGCCCTACCCACAGGGGTTCTATAGCATCTGGGGAGTCAACAGAAGCTGCTGCTCTTACAAGTTACCTTTAGGAAATAGATAGCCAACTGTCTCAACTACTGAGGTGTACTTACTCCTTGCTTTGGATTTCCTGTTAATTATCAGGACACAGCAGCTGCAATTCTGCTAGGCCCGGAGACTGGCAAAACTATACTAATTACTGGATCCAAAGCCAGATTAAAAGGCATCTCAAAATTAGGAAAAGAAACATTGGTTCTTCAGAAACAGGTGAAACATGCTTTTTGGCTATAAAGCAGTATTTTGAGAGCTCGGTGCACACTTACTTAGCTGTTATCAACCCTAAAGTTTAGGCAATTGGTAGTAGGATCCAAAAATATGTCAGAGACAAAGTTCCAAAGACAGTGTCCTTTGATTTGAAATTGGGAGGGGAGAGGGTGTTAAAAATTCCTTAACTAGAATTAAAAAATCTTATTCTTCAGATTAACTCAAAGTTGATACTTCTTTGTGAACAAGCATTAATTAAGCTTTTAAAGAAATTGTCCCTACGGGGAAAAAGACTTTTAAGGAAAGAAGTAGCAAGACAAAACTCTGGGGGAAACAGGTACAGTCATATTCATGACCGCTCTCACGTAGGCAACCTACATGAATGCCTTGAGCCCCTCCTGTAAACTTTAGCACAGATCTGTTCATCACAATTTGAGTTCTTTACAGACAACACTTATGGTGCACAGCAGAAAACTTTGCAAATATCTTCCCTGCGAAGCATACGACCATATACAAATGTTTCTCAGACATTACTGTGGAAATGTCGCTAATTTGAACACGGCACTCTATCTGCTTTCTATGTGCTACTTCCTTTGCTTAAAGTAATATATTCTTTCTTAAGCATTCCAAAAACAGAATTCTAACATCAAAACTAAGGGCATAGGAATATAACCACTTCATAATAAAAGCAAGTCATTAGGATTGAGAACAAATCCCAATAGAGAGGGGCAATATCGAATTCTCAGACAAATTCACTTTTCTGAAGTGGACAGTGATGGATGATCTACAGGAAGCACCATCCCAGTATATGGGATCCTTTTTAACAATTATAAACTGGTGTTTGGTCTTAAGCTGTAAGCCAGCCAGTTAGATCATTTCAAATTAGAAACTGAATCGTCTGCCAACAGAATACTTTCAAAGGTTGCATTAAGTGCATTGCAAGACACCTGAAGAACTAAAAAGCTGTCAGTTTCAGGCAACAATTACGGAGCCTGGGGAGCCACGAGTGTCAATAACACATGAGGGCACACAGAGCTGGCGGATCCATGTGTTATTGGGCCGTCACAGGTACTAACCTCAAGTACAAAGAAAGGGGACAGTGAACACGAATATATAAGTATCTGGTTTAAGGTCCACGGAAAGTCATTTCACTGCTCTATGACCTTGCTCAGGCTTCGCTGATTTTTTTGGTTGTCCCTTACGGATCCACGGATCCATCTGTTTCAGACGTGGGTGTGGGTAAGCGTGCTACACGCTGCCGTCTGCGAGAGTGTCATTCTCCCGTGACCAGCTGCCTTTTAGGGGTGAAATTCTGCCGTAAAATCATACCCAGTGACAACAGCTCAGACGGCAATCCCAATCAATGAAAAGGGGAAAAACACAAGATCAGCTCACTGACATTTTTAGGAAGTTTGATAGTTTGGTTCCTTTTTCCATGTAACTTTTCCGGAAGAAGAAGCCTGTGTGGTTGGATCGATACAGTGAGGCTTTTCCCAGTGTCCGGGTCAGAGAGCATCTGGGTCCCCAGTCTTGGTGCTGTCACAGGGGTTAGTGCCTGTGCCGTGACCGTATGACCTAGCCGTCACAGGTTAACTTACAACATAATCCCTAGCTTCAAAAGCATACGTGGGTTTCCCTATCGTCCTCTTCATGAGTTCTTTGTGAAAACAGAGAGACTGAGTCTGCCAATAATCAGCAAGAGAACAAGGTAAAATAAATAAAATGAAAGTAATCAGAAGATAGTTACATCTGACAAACAATTGGTAGGGATTTTCAAAATCTTTTGATCAACGATGATGGTATTTTTCCGTACAATTAACTCTAAAACGTGGGGAAAATATGTCCATATTGTAGATTTAGAAGCCCCTTGCTCACACCAGAAAAAGAAATGTTAAGACAATAAAGTTACTTTGTAGACTGCAAATTGAGAACACACAATCTAGCTTCATTTTTCTTTGACTTCAGTAAAGATGAAATAATGGTTGATCATGGTGGCATGCCAATCTTTAAAGATGTTCAATGAGACATTTGCTTACAAATGTGAATGACTTACAACAAAAAAGATTTATCCTACTTAGCTCTTCAGAAACGAAATTATTTCTGCGAAGAAACGTTTGCATAGGATTTATACATTCTGATAACAGAAACAAATGATTAAAATCTGGATCTGAAACAGATGTTATTCTCCGAGAATCCTTTTCCTATCTTCGGTGCAACAGTCTTAAAGTTAAAAAGGAGAATAAATGAAATAGCAAGGACTGCAGCATTTTAGTCACGGATCCTGTTAAACATGTACCTTCAGTTTTGAAATTGCTTTAAAATCACATTTATTTCCCCAAACTTCAGATTTTTTAAAATTTCCTCATTTACTTCTATGATGTATTTCCTTTCCTTTTTTTTTTTTCTGCACTGCTACTTCCTGAAGAAAAGTACGTCAAATCTGATCCTAAAAACAGATCAACGTAAAAGGAGGGAAGCAAAAATATGTTTCTATTTATTTACTGATGCTTCTAGTGTGTGTGTGTGTGTGTGTGTGTGTTTATTCTTGAAAACACACTCACCGTTTAGGAAATTTTTTTTTAAAAAATAGAAGTTTGCTGAGCACAGATTTGAGGTGTAAGAAATAAAATTTATTTTTGCTAATTATTTTTTTTTAAAAAAATGGGATAGGGTTCCCTTAATTAATCAGAATAACCTGTTTCTCATTTCACTGTTTTTGTTTTCAAGTGTTAATGTTTTCCTAGCCATCTTTTCTTACACTTATTGATTACTGACATTCTTGGTCTCTTCCTAAACATTTAGAGAACTCCATGAAACATGATTCAGAAACCGTGTGCAACCAACAGACTGTGATGTTGAGAGAAGAGTGGAACAGATACATACACAAATGGTAAACAGTCATGAATATTCAACATCCTTCATTATGAGATTCCAAGAGACAATGCAGAGATATTTTTATAAATATAATAAGTGAGTGCTGTGTGAAGGTTTTGGAAGCAGCAGAGATGGGGTAACTGATTTACAGTTAATGTCAAATTTTATAGTCTATAGTCTAGTATAGCGACACAGTCATATGTTGAAAATTCTTCGATGAGCAAGGAGCAGAGATGGATGGAGAATTCTAAAAGCCAGCATAATGGAGACCTAATTATAGAACTCAACACCATTCATCATCCACTTTTGAAGCTATATTCTGCCCTCCAACAAGGCCTCTCTTGAAATCTTTAGGAAATTAAATTCGAATTCTTAACCTGGATATGCTGGGTAACCTTAAAACAGGATAATTCCACCAACTGCATTCTTTGCATAAAACTTTGAGATTCCATTATTAAAGGAACTCTGCATATAAAGAAATGAGGTTTTTGTCCCTTATTTTAAAAGGTAACGATGTAGCTATCTACTATATTTACAACTTTTTTACACAGAGGAAGGGAAAAGTAAAAATTATATTTGTACAAGAACACATCCCACTACAACTATATTTCAACTCCCACAGGACAGGACAAAAGAAAACCTTACTGGATATGTTAATGCACTTAATGTTTGTTTACTCATTATTCATTATAAAGAATATCTGGGGATGGCTTAGACTAGACTGACCATTTAGGTTTATTCAGGAGGCTAGGAATGACCTTGTTCCAATCTTTTTCTAAAAAACCGAACTGGTGTCTACTTTGGATTGCTGATCAATTCCATAAGACCTTGTGACTTAAGCACATGCGATCTTAGTTAGGATGGCAAACCTGAGTCTGAGTAACAACCACTTATGAGTCAATCATGGTATAACAGATTCTCCCTGAGTATGGACTCATAGAATCTCAGGTCATAAGCAGGCTCCCTGGCTTTAAATCCTGGCTCTGTATCTTCCTAACTCCATCTTTGTATGCACCAGTTTTCTTATCAGTAAAATAAAGAACTCTTAGTACCTAGGTTCATAGGGTGGTTGAAAAAAGTAAATGAGCGCATAGAACAGAGTCTGGCAAACGACAAGCACTCAGTGAATGTGAGCCGCTAGTACTTCCCCCTTTACGATAAATACTGCATTAGGCCTTTTTGCAGTCAGTCTGTTATCAGATATTTAATCAACACCTTGTACATCACCAGAATAGCTAAAGAAACCGCTGTAACCCATATACCATTTCGCCTCAAACCCTGAGGCATAGCTCAGAGAAAAGTACCCTCACGACACATTGTTTCAGTAATTATTAAGCAAATATTTTCTGACTATACAGTGATTTCCAACGCCTCAAATGTTGCCAGCTTTAGAAACGAAATCTAAGTTTCTTTTTTGGTAAAATCAAGGTAAAATATTAATGACTTAGATGCTTCAAAAGGGAAACGGAGAAAGGTCCATCCAAAATGTGCTACAGACAAAAAGAACTCTGGGGTGGCTGGCTCCCCACCCCTCTCCCACCCATCCTGCTTCCTTCCTTCTTTCCTCTCTGTGGCGCTTCTTCTTTCCGGCTATAATGAATCATAGGTTCTTATTGTTTTACGTTATGGGAAAACACAATGGAGTCATTCACAAACAAAATAAGTTATGCAGAACAAAACATGCAACCAAAGCGCACAAGAGAGACAGGATTCCAGAGCAGAACTTACCCCACGCTTTAGACTCCTGAAGCAGTGGATTTTGGGTTTGGAGGTCATGAACTCGTTGAAGCGATGGGAGAGGGGTTCCTTTTGCTGCTTGGGAGACTGGGGGCCGTTGGGAACAGCAGAGGGTGAGGCAGAGGCAGGGGGAGGTGGGGGAGGCTGATGGGGGGATGTTAAAAGGGACATAAGCTACGTGTAAGAGACGGAGCAGTGACAGAGTAAAAAATCAGAAACAAGAAGATAAGACACAAAACAAAAATAAGCATCAAATAATATTTGAAAACCCAAAGCAAGTCAAACACAAACAATTAAATATTTAGGCCATGGTCCAAAAGAAAATACGTAAGGATACGTTAAATGGGAATATGATGGAAGTGGGAGTTTTAGTAAGTAAAGCAACAGAAGAATAGCAAGAAATGTCTGACAAGAAGCTCATGCAGACTTCCACATGCAAGCTACCGTTCTAATTAGTTACTCTAAACCAGTGTAAGCCAGAAGGGTAAATATTTCTAAACCACCTAAACTAACACAGCTTGATGGGAGAAAACGAAAGTCCTTCAATGCTAAGGTTGTGAAAACAGCAAAGACAGTCTTGAAATATTAAATTATTCTAAGGTTACAGCAGTCACATCGCCTTGATCATACTTTATGCCTATGTTAATGCTGTCATGCACTTACGTATCACACTATAAAAAGAAAACGAAAATTGTTCATGGATACATATGTTAACATGAGTTGGAAACCAAGTTATTAACCCATGGGAACGATTTCAGTTAGATATGCTGATACATGGTTATAGAAATGTTGTACAATTTCCTTTCTCCCAGCCCAGGTAACCAGCAATCTAGGAGACTTAGGAGTGAAAGGCATGATGCAAAAGCCAGAGGTCAGTAATCTGTTAGTGTGGGTGACACGGTGCAGGTGATAACGCGTCTGAAATAAGACACATGGCCATGGCCAAGGTACCATCACCAAAGAGAGATACTGTCTTAAAATAAAATAGCACACTAGCTTTTTTTTTCTTTTTTTTGCATTCTGAAACAAGCTTAAAATCTTCGTTCCTTTAAAACTAAAAGATAAAGTGAACGTCTCCACACTTTGCAACACTCATTTCACACTGGGTCCAGCCATCAGTACCTTATTTTTTTTGATGAACGGCCATAACTTTCCTTTGGATTTGCCACCAAATTTGAGCTCTGATTTGCCTTCTCCTCTGGAATTCGAAAGGCTGTTATCTGACACAGTGCGCTTCATCGGCTGGGTGTAATCCTCAAATTCAATGTCTCCAGGCGGCTCAAAACCGGACTTATAAGCTTCTATGGCCAGCTGTGAATCCTGAAATTACACCCATCACACACAAATACGTTCAGATGCATGCAAATACCTTATACACAATGAACTATGATGACCTCATACAGGTGATATTCTAAATAAGTTATATTGATTAATAATAGATTTTCTAGTAATATTTTTTTTCTAGTAATATTTTTATCATCAGAAAGAATAATTTGTAAAGCTACATGTCTAGCTGAGATTTGAAGATACTTTTAATAATTAACCATTTTTCTACATTTACAGAAACAAATATTAATTAAGAATGACTTTGCTAAAAGCAGAAAAACTGGGCCATTTATTATGCGATTCCCTTGAAAAATACAGTAGTACAAAAACCGGTTCTCATCAGAAGGTCTTAAAGCAATTTGGCATACACAAAGTCAAAGCAAAGAGTAGATAATCTCTCTGATTTCTTTGGTTAATTGTGGTTCAAAGATATGAATTTATTGAATAATTTTTCTTTATGTATATATTTGTTCACAGTCTCTCCTCTACTAGAATGTAGGCTCCCTTCTGTTTTTCCTCCACTGTGTCCCTAGTACCTAGATGGTGTCCGGTAATAATGGTGCAATAAATGTTTGCTGAATAAATCAGTGAACTGATTGCCTACTCTGTGGTGTGCACCCTGCTAGGAACTTGGAGTTCAGAATCTTCTTGGGGTCAGGTGGTGAAGACCAAAGTGTAAAGAAATGGCAACTATCGTGCCAAAGATAGATAGATAGATGTATAGTTAAACTGTTACAAAAGCACATGTGATTTGTAATAACTTTCTAACTCAATGATCATCTGATTTAAAAAATCTACTAGATGGGACTTCCCTTGTGGCGCAGTGGCTAAGAATCTGCCTGCCAAGGCAGGGGACATGGGTTCGAGCCTTGGTCCGGGAAGATCCCACATGCCGTGAAACAACTAAGCCCGTGCACCACAACTACTGAGCCTGCGCTCTAGAGCCTGCGAGCCACAACTACTGAGCCCACGTGCCTAGAGCCCGTGTTCTGCAACAAGAAAAGCCGCCGCAATGAGAAGCCCACGCACTGCAATAAAGAGTAGCCCCCGCTTGCCGCAACTAGAGAAAGCCCACGTGCAGCAACAAAGACCCAATGCAGCCAAAAATAAATACAAAATAAATAAATAAATAAATCTTAAAAAAAAAACTACTAGAGAAGACAATTTGGAAAAATCTCAACTTCCTACAGTGAGCCCACATTTTAATTTGCCGTAGCTATTTCAGTTGACACTGATTTTGTAGGTGTGCCATAGGCGTCAATTGTCTTGCAATAGCCAATCACCCTTCCTTCTTAGTAACAAGAACCCTGATTTTAAGTCAGGCACATGGCCACCCAGCAAAAAGGCTTCACTCCCCAGTCTTTTGTACAGCAGGAGATGGCCCCTAAGTTTTGACCTCTGAGATCTCTTGAGATGTAGACAGAAGTACAGGGAGCAATTTTTGGAAGCCTCTTTAAAGAGATGGCATGGGCCCTTCTCTATATAACGTTTTCTGGAATTTGGAGGTGATGGTTGGAGCTACAGAAGCCACATTGAGTTTGAAAGCCATATCATCAAAAGCTGTGAACTAGGAGATGCCTGGGTCACTGAGAACTTGCGGACCATCTGCCCATACCATGGTTGGACCCTCTTGCCTCTAGACATCTTTACATGGAAGGAAAAATAAACCACCTTAAGACACTATTGCCATTGTTATATGAACCTAAACCTATACTAGCAGATTCAGCTCTACAATCCTAAGTGTGCCAGTGACTATACTAATCCAAAACACAGAAGGCTGAATTAAAAAACTCTAAAATGGTGCTGCTTCTGTTGAAAAGTATTTGTGACCACTGAAAGCAACTACTTTCAGGCGATTAAATATGGTCACTGTGGAAAGGGGCAGGGAAATAATGAGACCGCAAACTCTTAGTTATAAATTAAGTCCAAACTACAGTACTTACATTTTTCGGATCGATTGACTCGGCTGCCTTTACTATTCCATCCAAGCACTTCCCGATGATTGGAATCACCTGCCGATCCAGCTCTGCATACGTCTTCACTGATTCTCCAATTCTCACTATCCTCCTCTCCTCCATCTCTTGTATTTTCTGAAACATCAGAATTTGCATAAAATTAATTTGGTCCACTGTTTTCTGGGTTTTTAAAAAATTAATTAATTTAATTTTGGCTGCGTTGGGTCTTTGTTGCTGCGCGCGGGCTTTCTCTAGTTGTGGCGAGTGGGGGCTACTCTTCGTTGTGATGCGCGGGCTTCTCATTGCGGTGGCTTCTTTTGTTGTGGAGCACGGGCTCTAGGCACACAGGCTTCAGTAGTTGTGGCTCGTGGGCTCTAGAGTGCAGGCTCAGTAGTTGTAGCACTCGGGCTTAGTTACTCTGCGACATGTGGGATCTTCCCAGAGCAGGGCTCAAACCCGTGTCCCCTGCATTGGCAGGCAGATTCTTAACCACTACGCCACCAAGGAAGCCCCAGTTTGGTCCACTGTTACTTACGGAAGTTGTTTTTTGGCAGCGCTGTTACCTCTAAAAAATTCTCTAGGCGGGAAATAGGCCTATAAAAAGGTTAGAGTTACAGCAACCGTAAATTTCTTGCGCCTCTACCTTAGCCAGCTGGACACCTATTTTACGAATTGCTGGGCTGCCTAAATGTACACTTTACCCAATTCCATTCCAATTTCAGTAAGAACCCGAAACTCAAGTAGTTTTACTATTAGCACCATTTGGTATTAAATTTTAAACATCTCCTCCATCTTTGAGGCACTGCTTTGTCCTTTACCAAAAGTATGGTATTTGGTTAACTGCCTTGACCCAACACAGACTTACATTAACTAGTATACCTGCCTTCTACAAGCTGGAGGTTCTTATCTGCTATGTAGACGCTATGACACAAACATTTATTATTTTTTCTACAGTTGGACTTTAAGTTGTAAAAAATTCCCAGAGTGGGAATGTATGTATCTTTTCTCAGACGATTTTTGACAACCTAAAGTAGCCAAAAGAAAAACAATCCAAAGGAAAGAACTGTCATCTATTCAAATCCTACACCTGTCTCAATGCTGCTTAGATTCCTAAAGGTTAAGTTGGAATTTTTGTAACCAGGATGGTCCTTTTAGCAAAAAGAGTGTTCATCTGAGAATCACAGTTCTAAGACTGACCAAGAATGGCTGCAGGGGCAAGCCAAGGAAGTTTGCAAAGGCTATTGATTAATCTTGAGATTCATGTTATATTTCATCTTAATGTCAGTCAGTGCTTGATCTGAATGTTTTAAAAAATGATTTGAATTAGAGGAAACTTAGAATTATATCAATACTTAGAATATAAGCCCAGAAATCATGATTCCAAGGCAACATTTTTCTAAGCAAAGCAAATCTGAGAGATCTGAACTCCTTACCTGAAAGATATTGGGAATATGAGTATGGTAATATTCATGCTGCTCGTGGTTGAATTTCTGAAGAATTGATGAGTAATCTGCTTTGCTGTCCTCTGCCATTTGGTGACGCATTTGAGCTTGTTGTCGTGCCTTAGGGCAAAAAATGAGAATACCCCCATGTTTACACATAATAAGTAGAAACCTAGGATTGCAAACTGGGGGAACTGGGGGAACTGGGGGAACTGGGGGATCAAATTTACCTCCCATTTGTTGTATTTAGCAGATGCTGTTTTAAAAAGAAATTGTTTGAACAATCCAATCCAAAAATGGGCAGAAGACCTGAAAAGACATTACTCCAAAGAAGACACATAGATGGCCAACAGGCACATGAAAAGCTGCTCGACATCACTAATTATTACAGAAATGTAAGTCAAAACAACAGTGAAATATCACCTCGCACCTGTCAAAATGGCTATCAGGAAAAAGTCTACGAATAACAAATGTTGGTTAGGATGTAGAGAAAAGTGAACGCTTGTACACTATTGGTGGAAATTGGTGCAGCCCCTATGGAAAACAATATAGAGGTTCCTCAAAAAACTAAAAATAAAACTACCATATGATCCAGCAATTCTACTCTTGGGTATATATCCAGAAAAAAAATGAAAACATTAATTCGAAAAGATACATGCACCCCAATGTTCATAGCAGCACTATTTACAATAGCCAAGACATGGAAGCAACCCAGGTGTCTATCAACAGATGACTGGATTAGGAAGATGTGATACACACACACACACACACACACACACACACATATACACACACAATGGAATATTACTAAGATATAAAAAAGAATGAAATACTGACATTTGTGGCAACATGGATGACCCTAGAAAATATTATGCTTAGTGAAATAAGCCAGACGGAGAAAGACAAATACTGTATGAGATCACTTACACGTGGAATCTAAAAAAAATAGTACAAATGAATATCAGACTCACAGCTGGAAAACAAACTTGTGGTTACCAAAGGGGAAAGGGACAAATTAGGGGTATAGGATTAACGATACCAGCTACTATATTTATAACAGATAAGCAACAAGGATATACTGTATAGCACAGGAAATTATGGCCATTATCTTGTAATAACCTATAGTGGAGTATAGTCTGCAAAAATACTGAATCACTATGCTGTACACCTGAAACTAACATAATATTATAAATCAACTGCAATTCAATTTAAAAAAAAAGAAAAAGGAGAAAGAGATTATTTAGAATTTGAATTTACTTTAGGCAAGGATGTGCACCCTAATTTTTCACAAACACCAACATTCTCTATTGTCTTAACTTGGTATTACTTTCTAGTTTGACACATGTGCCAACATTCTTTATTGTCTGCACTTGGCCCAATTCGCACATTTATGTTACCTAGATTTAGGTTCCCTTATGGGAACCGCTGATCATAGTTTTTATATCCTGAGGAGGGGACAGGCGATCTATAAATTTTTTAATCCAATTCTCAACGGAGTTCATGAATTAAAAAGTCATATCGGGGGCTTCCCTGGTGATGCAGTGGTTGAGAATCCGCCTGCCAATGCAGGGGACACGAGTGTGATCCCTGGTCCAGGAAGATCCCACATATTGCGCAGCAACTAAGCCCATGAGCCACGACTACTGAAGCCCGCGCGCCTAGAGCCCGTGCTCTGCAACAAGAGAAGCCCGCCGCAATGAGAAGCCCACGCACCGCAATGAAGAGTAGCCCCCGCTCGCCGCAACTAGAGAAAGCCTGTGCACAGCAGTGAAGACCCAAAGCAGCTAAAAATAAATAAATAAATATTTTTAAAAAAGGTACACGAACCAGTGATCTAAAGGGACCTTTCTAAAACTCTCCACTATGTTTATTTTCAGAATATACTTTAAAGAAGCAGTAAGTACGGTGCTCTCTTTGTGCTTTTTATGTGTGTGTGTGTGTGTGTGCGCGCGCGCGTGCTATTTTGTGTTTTACTGCATTGCTTTTCTCCTAAATAATAATAGAACTCATACATTTGTTTCTCTCTTCTCATTCACTTTTTGGCTAATTACACACAGGCAAGAAAGGGGCTCTTAGCGACAAGTTGCAGAATCGATTTGAAAGTTCAAACAAGAATGTCTGTAAAGTCGAAAGTCCTCCACAAATAGCAGAGATTGTTATGCTGGTAACAGCTCCTCAGATTCCTCCAGCACCTTGGAGGCGCCTTGATAAATACAATCTCATGAATCTCTAAGACAATCTGAGGTCCGTGCAGGGCAACAACTACCCCCTGCCAGATGAAGAGATGGCTTGGCCTGTATACTGGGCAAACTTACCACACTGAACCAAGAACTCAACAGGAAAAGGGCCTTGTTCCAACATACCCAAGGCAACTTTTGTTTGTTGTTTTGTCTTGTTTTACTGAACCTAACTGCTTAAAAAAAGAAAAAGAAAAAACAAAGAACCGTTCAAATGCCAACACGAAGAAGAAAGGCTGGAGTCGTTTGTCCCACTCTCTGTCTGATCACTGGTACCAGATCGGTTTCTTCGCACCGCCATGTCCTTCGTTGGTTTCCTGCCTCTGTGACCTGAAGGCTTAACCTGATTTCACTTCCTTGATATGCTTCGCTCATCTGTGTATCCGTGAAAGCCCGAGGTGGTCATTCAGAGCTGCTTCCTTTATTTTCTTCTCTGTTCATACGTAAACACTTCCCAAATGCAGGGAACAATATTAATATTTCCAAACTGATTTCCTTATTACCTGAGGCTTCTTAGTTTCTTAAGACCTTTAGGTACCTCAAAACCAATTTACCAACTTCTCACCTCCCCTCAGTTAGTTCAGCTGCCGCATTCTTCCTCTTTGTCAGCGGACTGTTAACTCCCTTCCTGACCATACGCTTTGGCTTCCGCTTTACTGTGTTCACTAGCAGATACGTAAGCTAGTCCCCAGCATGTTGAGTCCCCAGCTACCCCGCAAAATCCATGCCTTTCCAACACACAGTAACCCTCCTCCACTTTAATAGTAGCTTCCCCACCTACGTGCACTCCATCTGTTCCCCTGATGCAACCAACTCAAAAATCCTTTTAACTCTTTCAATTACCTAGAATTTTATCATTTCTCATTCTATTATGACGATGGGGAAAAAAAAATAACATACAAGGAAATTCCCAGGTAACCTCCCACTTCTAAAAAATTCTCTCTTTCATTTACAAAACTTCCTCAGAAAACAAGTCTCAGAAAAATCCCAGGGGAGGGAGGTTCCGTCATCTCTTTTGTAAGGAGAGTAGCAAGATGGACAGTCTCCTTATTTATTTTGCAGAAATGATTCTAATTTGGTGAAAACTTAAAATAGCTTAGTTCTGAAACAGAGATCAGAATGTCATCATTAAATATGCACTTATGTGTGTATACACACACACACACAGCCCACATAAGCAGATTAATGTTTCCTGACAGTCAAGCCATCATAACGACCATGGAATATTTTACTCATGAGAACTGGAGGTGAGCCTGCCAGAGGTACCCCAGCACCATCTGATTGGAAGTGGTCATCATCCTCTAACCTCTGAACTCCCCAGAATCTCTAATCATGTTTTTGCTTTGGCTATATAATTGCTTTTATTAATATAAATTCATAATCGTTTAATATTAATTAAACTATTAATATTAATTCATAATAATTAAACTATTAATAATTAATATTAATTCATAATAGTTTCACAGTGCCCTGCACAATGCATTCCTGAAATGTAACTAGGTGACCAGTAAACTATGGAAGAAACTGAGATAAGGAAGAACATGGATAAAATCCAGCCTGGAAAGTGAGCTGAGTAGAAGAAAACAAACAGACTCCAGAGGGAACGGGTCTACCTTTTGTAAAGGAAGCATGATCTCTCTGGGAGTTTTCTTGAAAGGAAAAGTTTGGACCTGAGGTTGCAAAAGCCTCTGTGCCTCTGCAGATTCTCTCTGACTCACTAAAAGGATAAAGCAACATTTAAAAGCAGCAAAATATTGTCGCACATCAGATTCTGCAAGGCCACCGCAGGAAGACGGGACTATCTTACTCTCAATCCCAGCATCCAGCTGCTTTGAATTAATACCCACTGTTGAATCCAGGCCCAGGAATGTGCCATTGTTCTGACCAAGATTTACTGTGCAAATCTATTTTTGTTTCGTAAGCTGCTGTGTTTATTTTGCGATGGAACTTCAAGAGTCTCTCTCTAAAACTAGTGCTGAGTCAGTTACTCATTACTACAAATATGTTTTTAAAAATATCTTTAAAAGTATTTTCAAAAACTTATTTGGAGTAACCGCTAAGTAACTAGATATTTTCGAGAGTGTATCTCCTAATGACTAAGGCTACATGAAGATTAGAAGCATCACTTCTCCTCCCTTTTTAAGTCCATCTGAAAATAGCAACTATTATCTTAAAGAGGTATAGTATTTCTACTGTCAGCCAGACCATTAGCTATTTCTTTTCATTCATGTTCTCATTCTAAGAATAAAAGATACTGCATCTTATAGCAATATTACTGTAGGGCAGAGAGAAGGTCAGAGGGTTTTTTTTTTTTTTAATGACTCAGAGTTACAGAATTTAGAGATAACATTCTAAAAAAGTCCAGAATGACCACAACTGCCTGAGGCTGTAATTCACAGACATCTTTAAATAAGAACTACACCAGTTTCACTGTCAATCAGAAAGACTGAACTTAAATTTTAGAATTTCTTTGACAAATCCTTGGGAATCTCCCCAAATAAATCCAAATAGGCCTAAGTATGTATTGCTTAAGCGCTACTTCACTGCTTAGTAATTCTTAACACCTCTAACTCAACATCCTATGGAAATAAAGCTGTGCTGCCTAAAAGGTCAGAGTTACAGTTTCTAAATAAAGAAAACAAGATTTTAGAAACTGAGCTGCAGCCCAATGCTTCTAAATCCTCACAGGTTTAAAGACAAAAATACTAAAATCCATTTAGTTAGTTAAATTTAGATGATGAGCACGGCCAAAATGTGTAGCTATTTCCTGTTCAATTCGCTATTACTTTTTCCTTAATATTTCAAATATTAAGAAGAAAACACCGCTGGCTGAGTCTCAATTGTCATAAACAGAGAAAATGAGCTATACTAAGGAATGTTTAC